GGAGACACAGAATTCGGGTAAAATAATAAAAGTTTTACTTGCAAGCAGGCGGGACTGCCAGAAATGGGTCTGGTCAGTGTTTGCCCGCTCTTTGTTCAGTTCCCCTTTTATGCATTCATTATCTCATTCCTGGTGGTCTTTGATGTGTAAATACAATTCCAGTTCCTATTTAGAAGTAGTTCCTGTTAATGATAACAGTCACAGACACAGGATAAGCACATGACAGTTAAAACACATACATTGTAAATTTACCCAGGCATTGCAACCTTGTTCTTCAGAATTAGGATGTTATCTGTAGGAAGGCTACAGATCAAAAGAGTCATATAACCTTCACTTTATTTATTTGGTACTGGGGATCAAACTTAGGTCTTTGCACTTGCGTAGCAGGTGGCGAAACCACTGAGCTAAATCCCCAGCCCTAACCTTCACTTTAAACAACCAGAGAAACCGGCTAAGGCAAGTTTTAAAGGGATACACTACCTATTTTGCTTCTACAACTGCTTTAGTAGTTAATCTGCTGAGCTGTCTCAAACTTTTTCCCTGTCATTCTCATTTTTAGTATATGTGCTGCCGAAGTGAGCACTGTCATTCTCATTTTTGTTTTTGGTGGTGTCCTTCATTTAATTTCCTGGGTTAATACTTTGAAATTGCTTATTGTAAGTATCTTTGTTGATGTATTTAGAACCCTTATGAAATGATTGCTTCTCAGAGGTGTCTTCCAGATACAGCTGGTCTTTAGGTTTTGAGTCTCTAATGACTCTAAGGCTGTCTTACTTTTTTATACCAGGAAGGACAACTGATTAGATCAATCACAACACCTTAGCCCAAATAAAACAATCAGCAACACCATAGCATCAAGTACATCTTAGAAAATAACAATTTGTGGTAGTTATTAATCTATCACCTTTAACTGTGTGAATTAAATCAAAATCGAGGACCAACCCTACATGTGTTTATAGTGAATAAACTCTTCAATATAGCAACTTTACCCTTCGGGATGGGAAGTTAGAAGGAGTTGGGGAGGGAGGAATAGATAGGTAGAAGGATAGGGGAAGGTTAGCAGTGAGGCCAGAGGACACAGGTGAGAAGGAAAAAGAGAATAATAGAAAAATAAAGAAGAAATCTGAAAACAAAAAGGGAGATGAAGAACAATGTGGGACAGCAAGAGAGTGAGTGTGAGAGAGAAAGAAAGAAAGGAGAAAAGAAAGAAAAAAAAGAGGAAAAAAATTGGAAAAGCATAGAAAAAGAAAAAAATATTAAAAATAAGAGCTATTAATAATAATAATCATTTAAAAAATAACAAAAAAGGGCCAAGGATTTAGCTCAGTGGTTCTGGTGCCTGCCTCGAAAGCTCAAAGTCCCAAGTTCAATCCCCGGTACCAAGAAAAAAAAAAAAAAATGACGGGCCTCCTTCAGGGTATGTCTCTGCTGTCGTAATAGACAGTGTGGGCAGCAGTGTGCAGATATAAGTCATTGAGTCTCAGCAAGCCACTCTCAGACCTGTGAGATTCAGGCAGATTTCTGGCTGCAAGTTTCAAGTTCAGCTCCCTGTCCTCCTGCAGGGTTGCACTCTGCAACGTTCTACTGCAGGTTCCAGCTGCCCATCCCCTGAAGATAGTCCAGGTTCTGATGGGAGGTGATGATCCCTCTAACTTACCAAGTACAGTATTCTGGTGTGCCTTTATTGCAGAGATTCTCTTCACTTTTCCAGTGGACTTCAGTTTTCATCAAAGAGCCTGAGAGAGGCCCTCTTTCTGTTGTTCACTTCTACTCTGTCTTCTGGAGCTCAGAACAATGGCTTTTATGCCCCCCCCCATGCCTTTGTAGTGGAACCAGGTAGCGGCACAGCCCTGAGGCCAGAGGCACGGGGGGGTGGGCTGCTGGGGCCCGAGCAGCTAAGCTGGTTGCCATGGGGTGGCAAGTGGTGAGGGGTCCTCAGTGTCCCGCTGATTGCCGGTGGGCATGGCACGGGTTGGATGGAGTGGGGCTCCAGGCGGCCAGGGACCTCTCTCTGCCTACCTGGCTAAGCTGTTCACCATCTTGCCGCCTGCCTCGAAAGTGCAAGGTCCTGAGTTTGATCCTCGGTACCAAAAAAAAAAAAAGAATAGAGCCTGGTATGGTGGCACCTGCCTGTAATCCCAGCACTAAGGAGACAGAGACAGGAGTATTGCCTATCTGATCTACATAGTGAGATCTTGTTTCAAAAAGCCAAAAGAGGCCAGGGATTTAGCTCAGTGGCACCGCACTGCCTCACAAGCGCAAGGTTCTGAGTTTGATCCCTGTACCAAAAATAAATAAAGCCAAAGTAAAACAAACAAAAAAACAAAAACAAAAGAAGAATAAATTTTTTTTAAAAAGTTAATTAGCCGGGGGTGGTGGCACATGCCTGTAATCTCACTACTCTGGGAAGCTGAGGCAGGAGAATTACAAGTTCAAGATCACCTTGGACAATTTAGAGTCTTAGACCCAGTCTTGGAAAAAGAAATAAAAAGATCTGAGGCTGTAGCTCAGGGGGCCCTGGGTTTGATCTCCAGTAATGGAGGGGGAAAAGGTAAATTAACTCATATTCAGAATTTTTCATTGACAGTCCCCCCCCCCCCAGCCTGGTACTGGGGATAGAACTCAGGACCTTGTGAGGCAGGTGTGGTGCCACTGAGCTAAACTCCTGGCCCTTCATTGACAATTATTTTATGAAGGTATTATTTTGAAAATATTTTCTTCACAAAGCAATATTAGTGAATATATAGGGAATTGTTATTTGGGACTTACTGGTATTTTCAGTGGTTAATATTTTAGTGATCCAGAATTTTTTCTCATTTTTATTTTTTATTGTTTGTAGTGCTGGGAAGGGAACACAGTGTACCACTGAGCCAAACCCCTGAGACCCAGAATTTGACTAAAATCATTTGATTACTAGAACCACAGTTAGCTTACAAAGAAAATGTTTTATAGATTGAGTTTTAAAATTCCTCATATAAATCTTAACTTTTTCTTTTTTCATTTTAAGTGAATTATAACCTAGTCTTTGTGATACGTTATTTTGCTGCCATGGCAACAGTGGTTGTGATGGGACAATTTATATATTTTCTTAGATGCTAGCACTTAGATATATTTTGTTACATAAGTTTGATTTTTAGTCTCTGTTTTGCTCTGAATGTTGTAAAAATAGATCATAGACTTTAGTATAGTAAACTTTTTGATATAACTGTGTGTAACATACAGTTATATTTTGCAAATTTAGTTTTGTATCTCGCTAGAAATCTAGTTACCATATACTGTATAAATCTAGTTTAGAGGAACAGTTGCGATTAGGTTTAGGAATTTAGGGTTGTAGCATAATGTAGGAATATTTCTTTTTTTTTTTTTTTATTAATCTTTGTTTCAAACTTTATTCCCAGGCTTCTTCATTAATTGCCTGCAAAGAATGAATTGTATGTAAGCAAAAACTGAAAAGAGCTGCAGTGTCCAAGAGGCTTGGGCTTAAAAACATTAGAGATCTAGATTTTATCAGATCCATAAACAAAAATAATTTTAAAAAGCAGTCATAATATAAAATAGCAGCTCCCAGTAACTTCTTCCAAGTTATATCTTCTTCAGAAGCTGACTCAGTTCAGTTTGCCTCATTCTTAGAAGCCTCACCAAAATTCTCCACAAGATGTGGAACTTCATCATCATCATCCTCTCCAGTAGCAAGTGGTGCTTTTCCATCCACAGATTGTTTGGGCAGAGCTTCAGCCAGTCTTCTTAAATTAGTCAGACTGTCTGCACCGAGATGGTTCAAGATGCTGGGTAGCATTTCTGTCAGCTGTTTCGTCTCAGCATGGCCTGTAATGGTGAAAATGTTTGCTGCCAGAGATGCCTGAACTTTTGGGTTTTTGAAGTGGATCACTGTTCCTTGGTTTGTAAACATACTCACCTCTTCAATACCAGAGATACTGTTTACCCCTGACTTCTTTAATGAGAACTGAAGTTTTTTATCATCTGCTGTAGCTGTTCTATAAACCATCTTCTTCCTCCAAGCAGTTCCTTTCCCACCAATGCGCACTTGTGCCTGCAATTTGGTGAGTTTTTCCTGGTTCATGATAGTTTCTTTCATCTTGTCGGAGCGGTTATGGGGCAGCACAGGGGACTAGGGCTAGTGCTCAGGGGGTCTCGAGCAGACCAGCTGAGATTAGGCACACCAACGCGGGGACTCAAGATGGCAGCTAGAGCAATGTAGGAATATTTCTTAGTGGTGATGTTTTCCCTCTAACCCATCCATATAATTTACAAACTTTATATCATGTCAAAAAATTGAGCATATGTATTTGCCTTGAAAAGCGTTCTGAATTTCTTAATGATGTCTTTAAGAAATTTTGGTTTTGCCAGGGATTTAGCTCAGTGATTCTGGTGCCTGCCTTGCAAGAGCAAGGTCCGGAGTTCGATCCCTGGTACCAAAAAAAAAAAAAAGAAAGAAATTCTGGTTTAGTTTTTTTTGTTTTTTGATTATGGGGAATCAAACTCAGGACCTTGTGCTTGCGAGACGGGAGGCCACACCATTGAGCTAAATCCCTGGCCCAGAAATTTTGGTTTAGTAAGAATAGGTTTGGATCAACTGCACTAGCTACACTTTCTTTTGTCTGAGGTACTGGCGATTGAACCTATCAATGCTGTACCACTGAGGTGCATCCCCAGTGCTTTTTATTTTTATTTTAGACAGGGGTCTCATTGAGTCACCCAGGTTGGCCCTGAAATTACATGAAGTAATGGTGTTGAAAAAGTATTGGACGGTAATGGGATTTTGTAATTTATGTTTTATGTGATTGAAGAAAACAGGAAATAAAATGGGAATGATAGAGATTATTAAATGTTAGTGAGATCCTTTTGTTTACTGTAAAAGGTCTATACTTCCCAACAGAGGCACGTTATTCTGCCCTTGAAAAAATGTCTTCAGTGTGTGCCTTTTAAAAAGCATACAGCAAGCTTTCAAACTCGGACATTTTGCTTTCTCCATTCATCAGGGAAAAAGAGTTTCTTTTTACAAACGAGCCCAGATCCTTGTGGCGGATACCTGGAGTGTGTTAGAGGGCAGAGGGGACGGATGCTTTGCGGACATCTCCAGCATCACCATGTTTGCCGACTACCGCCTGCCGCAGGTCCTCGCCCACCTCGGAGCCCTCAAGTACTCTGATGAACTGCTGAGGAAGCTTCGCCAAGGTCTGCAGGCTTGATTGGGCCATTCTCTGTTTTTCAGTGAATTGTTGTGACTCTTCATTTAGCTTCTTTCACAAAAAGCTCTTTTGCTTAAAAAAAAGGGGGGAGTCACTATTTATTGTTAAAACTGTATGTAAAAAAAATGTTTGCAAAGAACAGTGCAAGCCAGGTGGGGTGGCACAGGCCTGCAATCTCAGCACTCAATGCTGAGGCAGGAGGATCTCTAGTTCAAGGCCAGCCTGGATTCATAGTCCCTGTCTCAAAAAAAGTCAAAATGAGAAAAAGAAAAATGCAAGGGCAAGTAAAATGTAGAACAAATTACTTTTTTTTTTTAGTACTGGGGATTGAACCCAGGGCTTCATGCATGCTAGGCAAGGGCTCTACCATTGAGCTATACCCCAACTTTATTTTATTTTGAGACAGGATCTTGCTATATAAGTAAGCTGGTCTTTTTGGGTTTTTTTGGTACCAGGGATCAAACTCAGGTCCTTGTGCTTGTGAGGCAGGTGCGGTGCCACAGAGCTAAAACCCTGGCCCTAGTCCAAGCTGGTCTTGAACTCACTGTGTACTGATGAAGCTGGGCTGGAGCTCCTGACCCTCTTGCCTCAGCCTCCAGAGTAGCAGGGATACAGGCGTTCACCACGGTGCCCAGTAGGAAGTGACTTTTCTTATTACTGTGTGGAATATGGATGTTGTTAATAGTTGTGCTATTTGAACATTTCAGAGCCTAATAAAATGAACTCTAAATTTATGCTATGTGAAGGTTTGTGATCCAGGTGTAACACATAAGGGGTGTTCATGAAGCTGGAGAGAACTCTGCATGTCAGACTGAAGGGTGGGCTAAGAGATAGATCATATAGATTGGATTTTGAGTCAACTTCTCAAGGGGCAACTGGGTTATCTCATACAAGTCATTCCCTTTCTTAGCTTATTATTCACCATTAATGAAGAGATGTTTGATTCAAGACTGGGAGCCTTATTTGTAAGAATAGATAAATTAGGTTGAGAAGTTTCTGTGAAAATTACCTTTTTTTATAAAACCTTTTTGGTTTGTTTTCTGAGATAGGGTCTCGCCATGAAGCTTGAACTTACTATATCCTTCTAGCTGGGCTTAAACTTGTGACAATCCTCCTGCATCAACATCCAGAGTGCTGGGATTGCAGGAATGTACCACCACCTCTAGCAGAAAACAAAAAACATTTCTTTTGTATGAGAAAAATACACTATTTCCATGCTAATTTCTCCTTTGTACTCAGGGTTTTATGTGGCTTTTTTCTTTATTTTTAAATGTAAGTGGTTTTACTCTTGAATAATTTTCTCTTGTGAAATGGATTTATATCTTCCCAAATCAGAATAATACAGAATATAAAGGTACCATTATTCCTGTTGTTGATTTTGCCAGGTTTTAAGTTTCTTCAGGAAATCGATTTTGTTCTGTTTCCTCGTTTGAAAAATAGTACACTGTTTTATGTCATAATGCTTATGTTCTAGGTGATTAATTTTTGGATACTTTTTAAAGGGACAACATTTATCAATTAGGGTATTATTTTCCATGTAGCCATATACTCTGCTCATTCCTGTCTTGAAGTATTCTTTTTTTTTTTTAAAGGCAAGGTCTCATGGTATTGCCCAGGGTAGACTTGAATGGACTAAGTTGCCCAGGCTGGCCTCCAATTCATGATCCTGCCTTAGCCTCCTGAGTGCAGATATTACAGGCATGTGCCACCACACCCGATTTAGGCTGGGGTGTTTTTGTTGTTTACTGTTTTCTTTTAAGCTGGTTTTTAATTAGTTTCTAACACTTGAAAATTAGGAGATTTCACATAAAAATCAAGGGCTGGTGATTTAGCTCAGTGGTGCTGTGCCTGCCTTGCAAGTGCAAGGTCCTGAGTTCAATTCCCAGTACTGGAGAAAAAAAATCAGACTACTTGTAAAAGTAGAGAAATATAGAAACGTGGTTTTTTGAGACAAGGCCTGGCGATGTAGCTCCGGCTGGCCTCAAATTGTTTGTGTAGCCCAGGCTGGTCTCAAACTCATAATCCAGCCTCAGCCTCCTTAGTGCTGGAACTGTTGGCACACAACACCATGCCTGGCTCAAAAACAATTTTCAATCCTTTTTAAAAAGAAAAAAATTTTATTGGTGTATTTTAGGTATACAATATAATGACATTCTTCATTGGAAATTTGCACCTTTACATAATCTCTCTTGGTTCTTATTTTTCCCCCTTCCCCTGCCCTCCCTTCAACCCCTCCATTCCTCCCCATTTACAAAGACTTTGTTTCCATTTTTCCATTTTCTCATATTAATTCCATTCCCTTCTTTCCTTTCCCCTACCCCTCCCACTTCCCCTTCCTCTTTGCCCCTTTTCTTCCTATTTCACATTATCTATTATGCCTTTTAGTCCTTATTTACACTTTCAGTTTCTCGCTAGAGAAACTATTAGGTGTATTTACACATGTGTGTCCTATTTTCTGTTTTCTTTTTTTTTTTGGTACTGGGGATTGAACTCGGGTCCTTGTGCTTGTGCAGCAGGCAGCAAAACCACTGAGCTAAATCCCCGGCCCTGTGTGTCCTATTTTCAGTCCTTTCTTTTTAACAATTTAATTTGCTCTCCTATTTTTCCTTATTTTTTCCTGTCATTTTTAAATTTAGGATTACCGCATCTCTCTCTAACAGACGTTTATTTGGAGAATTAGTACGTGCAGGGTGTTAGGCTGGGTTCTGAGAAGACTAAGACAGCAGATTGGCCATTCTTGTGAAATGTAGTAGGAACTTCACATTCATGCCTAATTTGAGAAATGATTTTTCCTCTGTTTTTAACCCTTGCAGGAGAAATGCTGTCATATGGGGATAAGCAAGAGGTGGAGATCAGAGGGTGCTCACTTTGGTGTGTTGAGCTGATCCGGGATTGTGTTCTGGAGCTTATTGAAAAACAGAGTGAAAAGCCTCACGGCGAGATCAACTCCATCCTTCTGGATTATTACTTATGGGACTATGCCCGGGACCACAGGGAAGACATGAAGGAGATTCCATTCCATCGCACACGCTGCATATACTACTGACCTGGCTGGGACCTGACCCAGACTCCTGTGTTAGTAGCAAACCAATGAGATCATATAACCACTTGGCTTTGGTATTAGGAGAAGGTGGCAGAAATTATAGGAACAAAGTGTAGATTATTCAGTTTCACTTTAAAAATTTTTTCTTGAGCCAGGTGTGGTGTACCCAGCTACTTTGAAGGCTGAGACAGAGGGATCTCCAGGTTAGCATAGGCAACACAGAGAGAACCATCTCCAAAAATTGTTTTTCTTGACACACTAACTTCTAACTTTATGCTTTATCTACTTAATTTAGTTTTGACTCCATTTCCCCTTTCTGTGGACACATAGTTGACCAAAATAACAGAAGAACTTTTCCTTAAGTTCTAGATTTAAAAAAATTAATTATGCCTATAATTGTGTGTGTGCGTGTGTGTGTGTGTGTTTCAATACTGGGGATTGAATCTGTGGTCTTCATACTAAGCTACATCCCCAGCCTTTTTTTTTTTTTTTTGATACAGAGTCTCACTAAGTCACTAAGTTGCCCAGGTCTTGGGCTTGAACTTTTTTTTTCTTTTTAATTTTTATTTTTGGTACCGGGTATCAGACTCGGGACTTTGCGCTTGCAAGGCAGGTGACGGAACCACTGAGCTAAATCCCTGGTCCTGGCTTGAACTTTTTTATGTGGTTAATCTTTAATGATAATATTTTATTTATCCAGTTGATAGTTTTTCTCAACTTATGCTTTCTTCCTTTTTTCCTTCCTATATTCTTCCCTCCCACCTTTCTTTCTCTTTCTTTTTCTTTCTCTCTTGTGCATCCTAGATAAGTGCTATACTACTGAGCCATATCTACATACCCACAGCACAGTAATTTCCTACAGACCTTAATCATTTAATGCAGAAAACAGAGGAAATAGAATCTTTGATGTATAAGCTATTGGTTTTGTAAAAAACAAATCTTTTTTCTTTTTTTTTTTTTTTGAGACAGGGTCTAGCTACGCAGTTCAGGCTGGTCTTGACCTCACAATGTAGCCCAGGCCTCTCAGTGATCCTCCTGCCTCAGCCTCCCCAGGGCTGGGATTACAGGCTTGCACCATCACACCTGGCTATAAAAAATAAATCTTGACACTTTATTTTAAACTTTCTGAGCCAGGGATTTAGCTCAGTGGCACCGCACCTACCTTGCAAGTGCAAAGTCCTCAGTTTGATCCCTGGTACCAAAAAAAAACCACTTTTTGATAATGGTAGTGGGTTTTATACATAATGCCTTTCACTTAAGGATATCTGTTTACCTAGTGTTTATTTTCAGACTAACTATATTGGAATTGAATAAAGATCTTCAAAATTTTTCTTAAACTGGGAGTGGATTATTTTCTTGAAAACGGGATTTATCACATGTAATTTTTATTTTAATTTTTCTGCTCGGTACTAGGGATCGAACTCAGGACCTTGTGCTTGGCAGGCAGGCACTGGACCACATGTAATTTTTAAAGGTTTACTGTAAGTTAGGTTATTTACTCTCTGCTGCAGAACTCTTGGTACCTACCAAGCACTCATTTTCCACCTCCACTGCCTTCCAAAAGAATCTTGATTTTGTTGTATATCTAGAGTAGTCCCCTTTTCCTTGATATCCATGGATGATTAGTTTCCCAGTCTCATCCCCCAGTAGCCAGATCCATAGGCACTTAAGTCCTGTAGGTAAAATAGTATTTTTATACACATCCTCTCATATACTTGTTTATTTTGTTTTTTGTCTTAGTCTTTGAGACAGTCTCCCTACGTAGTTCAGGCTATACTTAAAACTCAACTAAGTATGTAGTGCATGTTGGCCTTGAAATTGCTGTGATTCTCCTGCCTCAGCCTCCTGTGTGCTGCAATCATAGGCATGTGTCACCATGCCTAGCCCATAAAGTTTTATTTATTTATTTTGGTACCAGGGATTGAATTCAGGACTTTGCACTTGCAAGGCAGGTGGTGGCACCACTGAGCTAAATCCCTGGCCCTAGCCCATAAAGTTAAAAAAAATTTTTTTTTGTAGTGCTAGGTGTCAAGCCCTGGGCCTCATGCATGGTAGGCAAACACTCTCCCACTGAACTATGTCCCCAGCCCATCCCATACACATTATTTATTTATTTTTGAGACAGGGTTCTGTAGTTGAGGATGGCCTTGAACTCACTGTATAGCCCAGGTTGGTCCCAGACTCACAGTGATCCTCCTGCTTCAGCCTCCCGAGTGCTGAGGTTACAGGTGTGTACCACCACTGTCCCCTGTGCTTTATAGATATTCTCTATTACTATACCTAATGTAGTGTAAACTCTATGTAAATAGTTGTTACATTCTATTGTTTAGGGAATAAAGATAAAAAATGTTCAGATTAGGATATTTTTGATCTATGGATGGCTGAATCGTGGATGTAGAACCCACAGTTAGGGCAGGCTTGACTATACCTTGTCTGCTGCATCGCTTTTCCCCAAGCACTTTACTGCCATCTTCTGGGGATTTGTTATAATGTCCTTACAGCTGACACCAGCTGTGTGAATGAGGCCTGGCATTGTGCAGTGTGCAGCCTGCCCAGCCGCCACGAGTAGTTGTGTCTATCCCTGGTGTGACTCAAAGGAGCATGGTCTATGCCCAATTCAGAGGTGTGTCTGGTCTGAATGATTCACTGTGTGATAATCTTCTTTTGCCTATGATTGCTTTGGTAATGGATAAATTTAATTCTGGTTACTGAGACAGGAGGGAAAGTCTGCCGGGAGGCTTCTGGAAAAGGGTTCTTCACATTTAAGAGACAAGCATATGCTTCTCTAGTGATGGTCTGTCTGAATGTAATCCTGTGGGCAGCCACATCCTGTGAGTGGAAGGAATTCCATGCAAAGCCTGAATTTCCCAAAGAAGGGGGGGGGGGGGGGGGGGGGCGCTTCATGGCTGCAGCATAGATAAAAGAACCCTGCTGAATTTCGTATTTCCTCCCTGCTGAGGACAATACTGCCCCACCCTGCAAACTCACAATCCAAAGGTGCTCAAATCCTCAGATAAAATAGCATAGCATTTGCATATGATCTACTCACATCCCCTTGTAGACTTTAAATTATCTGTAGATTATTTATGACACCTAAACAGTACAAATGCTATGTAAGTAGTTGTTTTACTTGTTATAGTGTACTGCTTAGGGAATAATGAAGACAGAAGCCTGTACATACTCAGCACAGATGCAATTATCTATCTATCTATCTATCTATCTATCTATCTATATATATATCTATATATCTATCTATATATCTAGATATATATGTATTTACTCACTATGTATTATTGATATTATTGTGTCATTCATCTAAGTTTCTCTTTTTTCCATATACAATGGACCCTTGAGTTATGACTGGCTTGACATACGAACAACTTGGGTTACGACTAGAATTTTTTTTTTTTTTTTT